TCTGCAGGCCTCCTGGAGTCTCCTGGAGCCAGGATCTGTGAAGTTCTGGGGCACCTTGGTATCTGTGAGCAGAAAGAAGTGGGGTAGAAGTGAGGATGGACTGGTGTGGGGATCCGGTGTAGGAGGAGACCTGTGGCTCTCCTAGTTTTCCGACTCCAGAGCACCAGACAGAGGGACAGCTCCCCGTCTTTAACCCCACTCCCAGTTTCTCCTTCCTAGTCCACAGGGAAGACTGCCGAGGAGGCCAAGGTAGGGTGGGGCCGGCAGGGCCTTACCCTTCCAGAATCAACAAATAAGTCTTTGTCCAAGTGCAGTTCTCCCCCCCGCCCCGCCCCCACTCCACAGCCCGGGTCCCTCTTTTGCTCTCTGGGGATTGGCCTCTAATCCCTTCTCCCCCACCCCCATCCCTTCTCCCGCCCGGGATTTTCAGTTATGGGGCTCTGTAGCTCAGAATGTACCTTCTGTTCCCAGGACATTTCTTCTACTCCTGAACTATTTCCTTAAATCTACTTCTCTACCCCAAAACTTGTAATTTCCCTTCTCCACACACCCTGCATGCCCTCCACAGCTGCTTCCTTGAGGAATCCCTTGCACCTGTCTGTACCTGTGAAGCGGCCCCTTTCCCAAGGATCCCACTTCTGCTCCCCGCCCTCGCCACGCCCCCGCTCCGCCCCCACTCGGAGCCTCCCGGCCACTCCTGCGCCGAGAGGATGTTTCTGCCTGGTGCCCCCACCCTGCCCCATTCCTGTGTTTGGTACACAGAAGCCATGGCAACGGCCCCCACCATACCCCTCCTCCTGCGCAAGCCTTGCGGCTTCCTGTTTGTATAGCTTCAGCTTTCTCTTCTGCTCGCTGACTCTTGATACCAAGGGGGCTGCCCCAAGGTGGCCCTTCAGTCATAGGTCTCCCATCACCCCCGCTCCCTGTGGCACTTCACTTTGGGGGCAAGTATCCCTGTTTCGCCTTTTCAAAATAGTCTTAATGCCAATTCTGGATTGGGAGGTTCCCCTGTGTCCTCTCTGCACAATGAATGGAGAGTCCCTTTGTTTTTCCAGCTCAACACCCCAGCCAGGAGCCCTGGAATCCTACTCCCACCCCATGTCCGCTTTTTCTTTGGCGTTGGCGGTGGGGTGAGGTCAGCTTCCAGCTCAGGGTCTGGGTGGGGCTGAGGGCTGGAGTGCCTTTTGCGGCCCCTCCCCCTTTCCCAGCTGTTGTAACCTTGTGGGTGGGAGTGAGGGCTGTTCCCACCGCTGTAGGCAGCTCTGGAGTTTACGTTACTCACTGCCAATCCACCCCCCAAGCTGTGCAGCTGTTGTTTTCCCTTTGGACCCCCAGCTCTGGGCATCTCCCACACAGGCTTTCCCCACCGCAGTAGGCAACTGGCTACCTTCCCTCCTTTAAGGGAGAGCCAGGGTAGGTCCCTTTGAGTGTCACTAGCATGGGCCACTCCAGCTCCAGCGGCTGCAGCCCCTCAGCGTGTGCCTGCTCGTGGGGGTGGGGAGAGCAGCCGTGGACAGGCTGGGCCCCTCTGGCCTGCCTCCTCCCAGAGCTCTGCTTTATGGCTCTGGCACCTCGGGATCTAGGGCAATGGTCCCAGAGTGGAGCCGAGACACCGCAGCTGAGTCTGTGACCTTGCCAGATGTGCCCAGGCACCAGAGTTTAGGAGGGAGACCCAGAGGTGGGTCTGGGAGGCCGAGTCTGTCCTGCCCGTCCATACCGTAAGTGACACTGGAGGGATCACTCTTCGGTCTTGTGCTCCCCTCCTAACCCTGGTGTCTGGGTTAATCATTCTCCTGTCCTTTCTTTCCCTGGGCCATAGTGATCCCTGGGCCTCAGGCCACTTGGCTCCATGGAGACACAGCCCTGAGGCCCAGGTGACCACAGTGAAGCTGCTCCCAGAAGTGAGGTCTGAACATTGGGCTGGAAAAGGGGGCTTACTGGTGGCAGCAGCCTCTGGCCCCCCTCTCCTTGCTTCTGAGCCTCCCAGCCGTGGCCCTGTGCGTCAGGGGTCACGGGCTTACGGAGACCGAGTGGCTCTCGGCTGGGCAGCTGGGGCTGGGCTGAGGGGAGAGAATCTTGTCTCCCTCTCTCCACTCGGCCGGCCTGCCCTACCCCTGCTGAGTGTGTGCTGGCTCATGGTGTGGGTCAAGGCCCAGACTGACATTTATCTGGCCGGGCTTCCGGGCTGGGTGAAGTGGGGCTGGGTTGTCTTAATGAGGTTTAACAATAACTGATTATGGGGAGGATCGCTGCCGGAAATGTGCAGCCCAATAGGCTGCAGTCGGAAGGAGCAGCCATGTTGGAGTGGGGGGCAGGGGACTGGCCCGAGCCCCACCTCTGCTGGGGCTGAGAGGTGGGAGGACGTTTGAGGCAGCTGCTGTCCCTGTGGCCTGCCCCGAGGCCCAGGGAGGGGGTGTTCGGATGGCTCAAACTGCCGTGCGGGTTACCCAGGGAGCCAGACTGACTCCATCCCTTAAGTCTGACCTGGCCTGGGGCCAGAGGTAGGGAGAGGCAGTGTTTCTCTTCCCTCTCCTTGAACAGAGGTGCCTGGCCTGGGGCATCCCCTTTTATGTACAGTCAGCCAGCTCTATCTCAGAGCAGAAAGAAGAGCCCATGGGGAGGGGATGGGGGCAGGAAATGGGGCCCTGGCTCCCCCTCGGCGTGGGTAGCATTCCTAGGACAGGGCTCTGGGTGTGGGACCTAGGCAGGGATGTGGCAGGTGGGGACAGACTGCCCACTGCGAGGTGCTGTCAACCGAGGCCAGTGGTCAGGAAACCACCCAGTTCTTCCTAACTGAGGTCCTCCAACTAAGTTAAAGAAACCCCGCTGTGTATTTCCCCATCCCTCCCTCTCTTCCCGGGTTTCCCTAAAAATGCCACCCAAGGCTCCTGGATTAGTGCCCCATTCCTGCGGTAACAAATTATCACAAACTGAGTGACTTAAAGCAACACACATGTAATATCTTGCAGAGCTAGGTTTCACTGGCTAAAATCAAGGTGTTGGCAGGGTTTGCATTCCTTCCAGGGGACTTAGGGGAGATTCCATTCCTTGCCTTTCCCAGCTTCTGGAGGCCATCTGCATTGCTTGGTTCATAACCCTGCGTCACTCCAACCTTGGCTTCCTTCTCACTTCTCCCACTCTGACTCATCTGCCTTCCTCTTTCACTCATAAGGACCCTTGTCGTGAGTACATTGGGCACCCCTGGAGACCCAGGGTACTCTCCCTATCTCAAGATCTGTAATTCAATCACATCTGCAAAATCCCTTTTGCCATATCAGGTAACATTCCCAGGTTCTGGGAATTAGAACATAGGCACCTTTGGGGGGCCATTATTCTGCCTACCACTGCTTCTAGAAAGGAAAGTAGAATTAGGTGTTACCTCGTTTCTCATGGGAAGCCCCTTTGCCTGGTGAAATCTGTTAAGGACCTACTCAGACCTACCTCTTCCAGGAAGTCCTCCAGGCTGCTTCTGCCAATACTCCTCTCTCAATTCCTATAACATATGGTCTGACTGTGTAGTTTAATATTCATCATGTACAACTCTTGCCCTTTCATAGGTGCTCACTTTGTCTCTCTGATGGCACTGTGGGCAACTTTAGGACCAAGGACTTCTGTGTCTTCCACAATCCCCAGCACAAATAGTGGGTGTTCAATTAAAACCCAGTGGCTAATTAAGGGTAGATCTGTCCAGTCCCCTAGCTCCTGACATAGGTTTCTCCAGCCACTCCATATTCTTTCCAAATCATTCTCTTGCCCAGAACTGGAAAAGGCAGGGTTGGGGTTAGAATGACCAGTTTGCCTTTGCTAAAGCTGACCACCGCAAATGAGGGGCTGAACCCCCAATCCTGGCCTCATTTACCCTGTTTTCTATTCCAGTGGGTTTTATACTTCATTGTAGCAGTGGAACCATCAAATGAAATCTAATGGGAAGCCTCAGTAGAGTAGACAGACTACCTGTCACAGGGGTGGAAGAACCCAGAGGTGCCTTAACACCTCCTAGAGTTCTGAGCACTTAGAGTCTCGCCCATGTCCAGGGGTTAAGGTGAGACTTCCCCCATTTGGTGGCTGTTCTCACCTCCTCACCTCTGGGGCCCACCCTGGGAATATGGTGTGTGTCAGAACCCCCCACCCCACAGGCTGCAGAGCTCTGACCACAGGCCTGGATGTGTCCTCTCCCCAGCTTCCCCCAGACACCACCACCCTTTGGAATGGCCAACAGGGGACCTGCCTACGGCCTGAGCCGGGAGGTACAGCAGAAGATTGAGAAACAGTATGATTCAGACCTGGAGCAGATCCTGATCCAGTGGATCACCACCCAGTGCCGCAAGGATGTGGGCCGGCCCCAGCCTGGGCGCGAGAACTTCCAGAACTGGCTCAAGGATGGCACGGTGAGAGCTGGGCGCCTCTGACCAGAAGTGCCAGGAGAGCAGGGCTGGGTCTGAGGGACCGGGGATTTGTCTCAGCTGAAGAATGGAGGGCAGCCCCCTCCCAGCTCTTCTTGAGCCGGGATATCTTCATCGTACAGAGGCCCCCTGCTTTCCTCCCTCCCGCCGAGGGAAGTGGGAGGGTGAACCTGCCTCCCTGCAGTTGGAAGCCGTGTGTGACGGAAGGAAGAGGAACTCTAAGGGAAGAGCTGGGGGAGGTGTGCTGTAGTTGGTAATCCTGGAATAGCACGGTTTACACTCTGGGCTCAGAGGCAGGGGGCTGGGCAGGAAGGAGCCTGATGCTCACTCCAGGTAGAGGCAGAGCTGTCTTCAGGTAGGAGAGGCACCTCTGCGGTTCACTGTCTCTAGCGCCGAGGGTGGTACATTCTGATCTGTGGTAGGCAGGGCCTCACTTCTGCACACCTACTGTCCTCACCCAGGTGCTGTGTGAGCTCATTAATGGGCTGTACCCCGAGGGGCAGGCCCCAGTGAGGAAGATCCAGGCCTCCACCATGGCCTTCAAGCAGATGGAGCAGATCTCCCAGTTCCTGCAAGCAGCCGAGCGCTACGGCATCAACACCACTGACATCTTCCAGACTGTGGACCTCTGGGAAGGTGGGTCAGGGCCAGGGCACTGTCATCCAGAAGACCAGAGGCTGGGCTGGGCCATGTCCACCAGGGAGAAGGGGCAGGTTTCTGACACCTGAGGACAAAGAGTGGTGTGTGTGTGTGTGTGTGTGTGTGTGTGTGTGTGTGTGTGTGTGTGTGTGTGTGTGTATGGAGGAGTTGGCCATATTGGGGGTTGGGTTGGAGAAGGGTCGGGAGACCAAGAGTAAAAGAATTAGGAAGCTGGGCCTGCTGACTTAGTGATAAGAGGTGGAAGCCTGGCATGCAGGACCCCAGACCCACTGAGGCCAACACACCCCCTCCCTCTTCCCAGGAAAGAACATGGCCTGTGTGCAGCGGACACTGATGAACCTGGGTGGGCTGGCGGTAGCCCAGAACAATGGGCTCTTCTCTGGAGATCCCAACTGGTTTCCCAAGTGAGTACTGCTGGGGCAGCCCAGGCCCCGGGCCGGTGCGGTGATCCTGCCCACTCCTGTCCCTAGGAAATGCCCTTACAAAGCACTTTCACATTCCTCGTCTCACTTAATCCTCATGAGTCTCCCGGGGTGGCAAGGGACAGTCCCTTTTGAGAGATGACTGGGTGGCTTCAGAGAGTTCAAGGCTCTCCAGGGCAGAGCTGGCACCAGTACTTAAGCCAAAGAAAGCCTGTGCTGTGTCCATGGAGGACATTTACTGGGGCAGCCTCCACCCTCCTCCTAACCAACACTCCCTTTCCACCCAGGAAATCCAAGGAGAACCCTCGGAATTTCTCAGACGACCAGCTGCAGGAGGGCAAGAATGTGATTGGGTTACAGATGGGGACCAACCGCGGGGCATCTCAGGCAGGCATGACCGGCTATGGGATGCCACGCCAGATCCTCTGATCCCATCCACAGCCCTGACCCTGCCTGCCGTGAATGTGTGTGTGTGTGTATATATATATATATATATATATATATATATATATATATATATATACGTATATACGTATATACGTATATATATATTTTAGCAGTGACATTCCCTGAGAGCCCCTGGAGCTCTCATGCTCCCCTCTGCCAGGGTGGGGGCCTGGCCTGTCTCCTCTGGGGGTGCCTGACGGTGGCCTCCCCACTGTGCTTACTAATACATTCCCTTCTCTAAATCCACCAAAACTGGACCAACTGGCCTCTTTTCCCCAGGACCAAAATTAGGGGGGCATCACCCCCTCTCCCCACCATACCTCTTCTCTTTCTCTCTGACCTCTCTTCCCCTGAGCCCTGTGCCCTAATCCATTCCTTGGCTGGGAGTCAGGGATGCTGCCTAATGGCCTTCTCCCCACAAGTACGCCTCGCCCACAGCTGTGGCTGCAGGGACTTAATTTATAGGGAGGGGTCTGTGGCGGTTGCCCCCCCAGCCCCAGCTGGACTGCGCTCACCACACTTCTGAGGCAGCCTGCCCTGGCAGAGGCCTTCAGGCTTCTCATTTTCCATTCCCCTCTCTGTGGCTAAGGGGTGGGGGTGAGGGGACCGGGGAGGGAAGGCTGCCCACGATGGGCTGGGGCTTGAAGAATCTGAGTTTGCTGATTTAAATAAAGAATCTCTGTCTTTTTTTGGATGGACTCTGGCTGTGTCTGGGGCCACTGAGTCCACTGTTGGGAAGGGAGGAATGTGGGGGAAGGGTGGTGACTGGCTCCAGGGAAGAGGGCTTTGAAATAAAAGGTTACAAACATCTCCCCATCATTGATTTCCCTCCCATTCTTTTTCTCACTTGGTTTAGGGGTGGGGTTGAGATGGGACAGGCCCTCCCAGCTGCCCTCGGGCTAGAAGCCATGATGACAGCATACGTGGGCAGGCTCCACAGGGAGGGGGGCCGTCACCTACCCAGGTGCTCCTGGCTGGGCCCTTCCCACAGCCAGAACAGTTCTCAGCCACTGCAGGAAGGTGGGGCCTGCCGTCCTGGAGGGCACACAGCCCTGAGTCCTGGCAGGTGTCTGGGTGGGAGGCCCTCAGGCAGGCTTGATGCAAGGTGACCTCTGGTGGCCAGACCAGTCTGGGGGCCAGGGGTAGGCTTGCGGTGGTGAGGATCTGGCGAGCTGGGGGATGAGTGAGCAGGAAGGAGTTGGTGGTGGTGGCTGGAGGCAGGAAGCCTTGTTGATCATCCCAGACACTTGTGAGCGGCTTGCTGGTGAGAACCTAGCAGCATTCCTTCTGGATGGGTGGCCCTGGACCACAATAATCAATTTTGGGGTCAGGTTGTCCTGAGCTCCCAGCCCTGACCCAGGCATGAATGTAGTTGCAACCCCACGGCCTTCCCATCAGACCCTGTGTCTCCCTAGAGGCTCTGGGCCAGTCCCCCACTTCATCTCCCACCTGCATCAGCCAGCCTGGCCTCCACTGTTCCTCTCCCCATGTCTACTTCAGTGTGCCTCTATTTCCCGAGGATGGGAAAGCCACAACATTGTGCCTGAGGGTGACAAATTGTGCAGTGGTGGATAACAAGAGAGCTTCCATTCTTCTTTCTCCCACCCCACTGTGGTTCCCTCTGCCAAGAAGCACCTACTGTGTGCCAGGCCCCATGCCACTGCTGTACATTAGCCATCAGCTCAGGGGCTCTCCACAAGTCCCAGCCATGGGCGAGATGGTATTTGCTTGCCTGCTGTACTCCCTTGGGCTGTGGCACAGATAAGATAGGGTGCAGCCTATTTGCAAATTCCCCGGGGATTAGCTGTCACTCCACCCCGTTATCTCCCATTCAGGAAGCCTCCGTGGAATGCCAGTGAGGAAGAGTGATGTCATTGCAAAGGCAACATTGAATTCATTGATATTTGAACTAAAAAAACAAACCATTTGCACCCTTCTCTGATTTAACTATAGCTATGAATTTTGGGCCACGGGCCTCACGACTTTCTGGGACTGACACACCAGAGCCAAGACTGAGGACCACTGTCTTCTCCCAGCAGATTCCCATGTTAGTCCACCAGGTGGATATTACTGTATTATTTCCCTCATTTTGTTCCCAAATGAGCATACTGGGTCCCAGGACAAGAAACTCACCCAAAGCCATATAAGGATTTAGTGGGCAGAGAGGGGTTTTGAACCCAGGTCATCCTGGCTGGGAGCTGGCTGAGCCTATGCTGCTCCAGCCGGACTGGATTTGAGAGGTGCTCAGCCACGGCGCTCACCTCCCGGCTGGATCCACCACCCACCAGCAAGCTCTGGGAGGCCCTTCCACGTCTCTCCTTAATCCAGTTCGCTCCAGGTTCAGCTCCTTCCTTCTGGAAATGGCCTCCACTGACACCTCAACATTTTGTTTTGTTTTCTGTTTGCTTTACAGCATTTTGTTCCATCTGAAATCACAGTTTGATCCCTAATTTGGCCCCTCTCATCTCTCCTGGCACTCCGTCAGGCCCTGGAGCCCAGAATGGGTCCCAGCCCTGGGAATAGAGGGAAAAGCTTCTCTGAGTGGCACCCCCTTTTCCTGCCATCTCCTAGCAATTCATTCCCCGTGGCTTTCCACACTGGTGTTCCCTAACACCCTGCGCCTGCAGGACGGTTCCTGCTGCCCCGAACAATCTCCCCTTCCAGGTGTCACCGTGGCTACTTTCTCTCCTTCAGGTCTTTGTTCAAATGTCACCTTCCAGTTCAAACATATTGCCTTCCCTGGCCACTGTGTTTAAAATTGCACACTCCACTCTCAGCCTGCACCCCATCCTCCTTCCCTCCTTTCTCCTATCACTATGTGATACTCAATGTATTTTACTTATTTATTTTCTGTCTCCACCCACAGGATGTACACTCTGTAAGGGCAGGTGTGTGTTGGTTTTGTTGGTGCCTGGCATGTTGTAGGTGCTGGATAAATATTTGTTGGATGAACGAATGAATGAGTGAATATCACACTGCCCTCATGCTCCTGAATCCCCTGGCCTGGTATCCAGCCAGCCCAGGGTCCCAGTGACCCAGCCTGTCATTGGATCTGAAATGAGACCAGTTTCCATTTCAGTTTCCAATGCTTCCTCATTTCCTGTCAGTTTCCAATGCTTCCTCATTGTTCATTTCCCAAAGGTAAAAACCTGAGAAGCCGGTTCTCTCTATAGCCAGAGGAGTGGAGGTTGGGAAAGGGCTGGAGGGTGGTTTGTGTGCTCTGGGCAAGTGGAAAGTGGTTGAGGATTTGGCAGAAAAAAAATGGGAAGAGGGCAGGAGAAAGGGGTAGGAGCCAGCAATTGTTCATTTACTCCTTGCCTTCAGCCTTACAGTGGAAGATCACTGTGGAGGTAAAGGGAAGGTAGGCTTGGCCCATGGTGGCTGGCGGGAAGGAGAGCTGGAGAAGGAAGGCAGGGAGGAGGAAGAGGAGGGGGAGGGGGAGGGGAGGACGGGGATGAGGAGGAGGGGTTCACAGTGTGGCTGGCCTGTAGGGGAAAAGTATAGTTCTGTGCAGTCTGTTCATGTGCACTGAGTGTGCATCCAGGTGTGTGAGAATTCACAGGGCCAGGGCTCAGGGGGTGCGGGTGGGAGGAGATGAAACTGTGACCTTGTGTGGAGGCTGCCTGTGAGTATGTGTTTACCAAGGACTGGGGACTGGGGGTGCAGAGGTGTGTGTCGGGTGTGTGTAGGCAGAGGGTAAGCGTCTGAGTGTTTGTCCATGGCTCCCTGGAGAACAATATGTCCATTCCTGCCTGTGCAGCCCAGAGAGGCCTTTGAGAGCTTGGCAAAAGGCCCAAGGACCAGTGGAACAGGGAAAGGGCTGGACAGTAGGGCCCCAGGGAGGGAGCAATAAAGGGCCTGGGATTAAATTTGTTGAAGAGAAGGCTAAAGGTAAATTAGTCACCGTCTCCTTGTGAAGAAATGAGTTTTAGTCCCAGTGGCTAGGGAGGTAGATTAAAAGAAAATGCACTGAAGTTGCACCTAGAGAAATTTAGGTTAAACAAGGAAAAATGATCCTCTTGACTCTGAGGTGTTATTAGCCTCTGGATTCTCTTAAGGGTCGGGAGGAAGGTCTTCAATAATAGGACAAATCTCATCTTAAGGTGGAAAATGAGCAATTCTGCCTGGGAACTCTCATATACACACCCATTTTTTCATTCATGTATTCATTCCTTCAACAATTATTGGGGTTCTACCCTATGCCAGGCCTTATGGGGCATATGAAGATTATTAATACATGATCTCTTGGCTCAAAAAGTACCTAGTCCTGTAGGGGAGGTAAAACATGGATAGGAGCCATGATAATTCAGAAAGCCAGTGATATGTGCCTTTGGAGAAATGCAAATAGGGCTCTTTGGGAGGATCACTTGCCAGCCTCCCGCAGCCCTGGATCAGGGATCCTCTCCCCTGATGTGCTGCAGGGAGTGGGGCTGCTGGTTGGTGGGGGTGGGGTTGCTCCTCCGGAAGAAGGAGTAGTCACTGGCTCTGTGGTCAGAGGTCAAGTTTCAGTGGGCGGGTGAAGGGGCTGTTCCTTTCCTGCCTGGAGTGGGGGTGGGCAAAGAAGCCTGATCAGGGTGAGAACCAGGGATTGGGTGGGGACAGATCAACATCACTGGGGGAGGGTAGGTGGGGAGTGGGTCATACAAGCATCTCCCCAAACACTGGGGCTGTCACACCATTTCACCACGCTGTGGGCAGGGCCTGAATTTTGAGTTGTGTTTCCATGAGAGAAATGTAGCTCGGTGTGGGGCTGAGCCATCACGGTGATGATGATGATGATGATTCACTACCATTTTTCTGTTAGTCACTCTGCTGAGAGCTTTACCTGTATATTGTATTTGTTCTTCCATTATTTCAAAAAATATTTATTGAGCACCTATTCAGGGCAAGGCATCTACTGGGTGTTGGAGGATACAGAAGTCAACAAAACAAGTACAGTTTGTGCCCTCCTGGGAGGAGCTAGAAGAGCAGAGAGCCAATTATAATGTGATTTGTGGCGTGCTAAGGGTTGTCTAGGTGAGAACCCAGAGGAGGGGACTTAACCCAGCCTCGCGGGGAGGGGCATCAGTGAAGATTTCTGGAAGGTCTGAACTGAGGATTTAAGGATAATTAGAAGCATAAAGGAGAGGCCAGTAGTGTTGAAAAGGACAGCGGTCTCCGGTCTCCGCTGAGCTGCAGCATGGGTGAGGGCTGGAGGTGGGAATGTGCAGGGCTGGACAGTAGAATGGGGTGT